CCCCCCTCCCCCTTTTACTTCTGCCTCACACTCAGCTCAGGTGAGGGCCGCCGCGGGTCAAGTTGTTCGTCCCCCCATTTTCAGCCTCAGTGGCCCTCACCCCCTCACAAGCAGTAACCAGGGCTCATTAAGGCGGGAAAAGTTTGATCCATGACTTGGGGCATATTAAAAGACGACTTTAAGCTTTCAGATACAAAATGGCCTTCATGGTGTTTTTGAAGTGGTGTGCGAAAAAGTTAAATTCCAACAGTATGACTAGAAATTTCGAATGACTTGTAAATCGTAAATTACAAAAATATTGTAAATTCACTGATAGTTTAAACGTGTGTGTTTGTAGGGCGACGGACACCCTGCTACTGTTATTCTGAGTCACGAATGCGTCACGACTCGCGGCTAGCGTCCCCTATCGCTTTCGGGTGGCATGGAGTGTACGTATATAAGACCCGAGCCTACTGTTCGCGAGCCACTACCAAAACGCGCGAGCCGCGAACCGTAGTGACGCATTCGTGACCGTGACTCATCCTCAGAGAAGCGAGTCCGCGTCGTTCTCCCAAACACATTGATTGCCAACTATCTGTTCTAAATTTTAATATTGTATGTATTATTGTAACTAACGAGGTTGAAAATTTACAATTTACTATCGTAAATTTACGATATGACACTATGATAATTTTTTTCACAAATTTAAAACATATTGTTGTATTTATGATAACAGAAATACATTGTAAATCGGTTACTACCCATTCGCTTGTCAATGACTTCCAAGTCGATACACAGTAATTTTACTATTCGATGTTGTCAATTTACAATACACGCCATATGGGACATTAATTCCTGAAGCCCTTACAAATATTTCTCAGAGTGGAGCTTGTGCATGAAAAATGTTACAAAGTCCCCAGGTAGGCCAGTCCTCGTACACTTTTACATTTAGTAAGCTGTTGTTCTGGTTGTTATGGGAGGTTGTTCTTGAGTTCCTCGGGAGGGTACGACGCGGGCTCGGCTCGTGGGGGGCGGGTATCTCTGCCGGGAGCGGGTGAATGCTCCTCAGGGGGGCCATCCCCGCGCGTCCCAAACTCCCGCCACGCGGAGCTACCCCCTGCCGCCCCCCGCCGCCCCCGCTGAGCCGAGCGGACGCCTCAGAGATGCTGTAGCGGAAGTAGTCGTCCCAGAGTCTCCGGGCGGGCGGAGCCGGCGCGGATATTTCGAGCGCAGCTCCGCTGGATAAATTGCTCATTTGCATAGTGCTGGCAATGAGTTTTATATAGGCTTGCGCCTCCGCCCCGACCACCCCCACCCTTTTCGTAGGGACAGTGGAGCAGGAAAGGGCTGTGGGCGGGAGGGGGGTGGGGGGCGTCCCCTGGCCATTCCGCACAACTTGCATAGTGCGTCACTGGCACTGCGTCAAGATAACCGACCAAAAAAAAACGAGGGGGGGCTCGAGAAATGGACGCCTTGTGAGGCTATGGCATAAAATAAGAGATATGGCGCGGAAAGTCGAGCGCACTCGGCCTAAATGGATGACAAAAGGAGGAAAACGGTGCTCAAGACCTGCTGCGCGCTCCGCCCTCGGCCGACCGACCCGGACAATTTAATTTTCTGTAATGCACCGGGGAAAAGTTCATTGTTGTATCAGAGATTCGATAGCGATATAGTGCGTAATCACACACTCGTCAGGTGTTCAAGTGACAGGTTTATAGAGGAGAGATACCGGCCGGTATCTGTGGCTTTTTGCCGTAGACGAGCTATAGAATATGAGCGGTGGCTCGCGAGCTGCGACCTTGTCATGAGAGTATCCGTCGTTCAAAAACAGCAGTGGGCCCTAATTTTTAGCACCTTTCAGGGCCCTCTTAGTGCCTTTTCAAAAGGCTTAAAACTCAAATAGCTCCCCTGCAAAGCGGCTGACTTATAACACCTTTGTTTTTCCAAGTTTATAGAAAAACGTCTGTGCTTGTATTGAAATTCTCTACTTTCCCTTCGTTTTCGTCTTTCTCCTTCCTTTTTTCTTTGCGGACTCTTTTGCCAGCCAAAAGCAGGGATTGTCGTCGTCGTGGGGAAGAGCAAAAGCAAACTTGACCGGAGCTGCTTTGCTAATCGATGGCGGCGACTCGCGGGTCCAACTCGTGATGCATGGCCATTTCTTTTCGACAGCAGCGCGGGAGGAGCGGGGCGAAGACGGCGTCGTCGTGGAGTGTTTGGCGGCGTGCCCGCGAGCAGGCGGAGCAGGCCACGCGCCAGCGCCAATGCCCTAATTGGGAACAATTTAAGGATTTAGCCAGACATTCACCTCTTTGCGCGCGCGCGCATACTTGCTGCTTAATGTCTAGCGTTCCTCTCTTTTATTTCCACGAGCGGTGCAATGCCCCGCTCCACGGTGGTAACAAACAAACAACAAAGTAAAATTAAAAAGAACAAGTGGCAGACCGGAGACCGCGGGCCTTGCTGCTGCTGCTGCTGCTTGCGGACAGTCGTCGGCCGGCGACGACGACATTTGCATACTCATCACATTCGCCAACGAGAGAGAGAGAGAGAGAGAGAGAGAGAGAGAGAGAGAGAGAGAGAGAGAGAGAGAGAGAGAGAGAGATGGCGGTGCGTGCACCCAGCTGTGCGCCCCGCCCCGCCCCTCCACGCCGCCACTCACGTTTGCCTCCCCATAATAAAGCCGTTCACTTTTAGTGTCAGCTGCGGCGCCACCTCGTCCGTTACTCGTTCCCTACTCATTCAACCGGCAGGCGCATCTCGGCGGGGCAGGGCGGGATGGGGCGGGGGTTTTATTTCCTGGCAATACTTTGTCGCGACCAACCACCACCGGCAGCAGGATGTTGTCACACAACGTGAATGCCCCCGCGGCGGCGGCGGAGCCTAGACGCGACGACGACGTCGACGGCGTGGTGCCGATATGGCAGGTGCTTCATTGAGTTTTGTCACTTATGCGCGACGCACCGCCGCCGTGTCGTTTTGATATGTCGGTCGGCCACGTCGCGGAGGTGACAAAGTGCCCCCCGGTGCGCGCGCGCCCGCCCATCACCGACGACGTCTCCCCGTCACGTCAGGTCAGCCGCCGCCGCCGTCGTAGTATTCATGTCACCGGGACGTATCACGTCCGCGTCCGTGTCGCGGCGGGCGGCACACCTGTCAGGTTGGGCCGGCCTACTAACCGAGTCGAGCCCCGGCTGTCGCGGAGCTGCGGCGGGGCCCAGCCTCTGTCACGTGCTGCGGGCTCGTGGCCGCGCTCTTATCACGGGGAAGTGGATTCGCGCGGGGGTGGAGGGAGGAAGGGGGGGAGGGGTGATACCCCCGCGCTGGCGGGCGCTGGGCGCGCGGCGGCCCCCCCATTGTACCGACGGCGTCCGCGCGGCGCGCACCTCGTCAGCACCATGCCGGCCGCCGGGATGAGCTTCGTGCAGCTCGAGGGCAACTATGTCATCAGCTTCCGCGACATGAACGAGGCCCTGCCGGCCTTCACGGCCGTCAAGCTGGACCGGCGCCGCGGCTCCTGGGACGGCGGCAGCATCCACGGCTCCATGACCAACCTGGCGGCGGCGGGCGCGGGCCCGCGCCGCGGCAGCGTCGGCGTGTTCGGCAGCACGTCCGCGCTCACCGCGGGCGGCGGCGGCGGCGGCTCCAGCCCCGGGGGCGGTAGCCTCTCCGGCAGCCGCCTCGCGCTCGGCGACGACCTGGCCGCGGCGGGCGCGGGCGGGCGCCGCAAGTCGTCCGTGGCCGCCACGCCTTACAAGCTCGTCCTCACCGGGGTGCCGCGGTCGGTGCGCGAGGACGCCATCCGCGCGCAGCTCGACGCCGTCATCCCGGGCATCGAGCGCGTGTATCGCGACCCGGACATGGCGCGCAACCTCTCGCACCCGCCTGTGTTCCTGGAGACGCGCTCCGTCCTGGCGCCGGACGCCTTCATGCTGCGCGCCGAGTGGGTGCCGGCCGTGCAGCGCCTCGTCAAGCAGGCCAACGCCCCC